CGCGCGGGCCGGGCTGGGCTCACCTCCGTCTGCGTAGGTCTCAGTGCCATAGCCGTCCTGCAGACCATTGTTCCAAGTTCCCTCGTACTTGGCACCGCTGCTGGAGCTCTGCCGGGTTCCATAGCGTCCCTTGAAGCCATGCGTCCACTCCCCCTTGTACAGCCAGCGCCCCTTGGTCTCTATGCCCAGCCCATGGCGTTTGCCCTGGCTCCAGTATCCCTCGAAGGTGTTTCCGCTGGGCCAGGTGTAGACGCCCGCCACTTCAAAGCCAAAGTTCCAGGAGCCCGAGTATTCGCCCTGGCCCTTGGGGCCGGTGCACAGGCCATGCCCGTGGGCCTTCCCCCCTTCCCAGCCCCCACAGTATGCCCCACCATCATCAAAGTCAAAGCGGCCCCCGCTCATCTCATCCTCACCCCCAACAACCTCCCCGTCCTCCAGCTTGGGTGCCGGGCTGTTGGGGAAAACGGACAATCTCCAGGCACCCTCAGGTCTGCGTCCCAGACTCACCACCCTGCCCCCGGAGGGGGGAAGCAAGAGGCTAGCAGAGGCAGCAAGAGCCCAGGAGCCAGGTCAGCACTGGGGGTGCTGGTCAGAGCCATGCCTCTGAGGGAGCCCCATCAGTCAGCCAGAGGAAGGCTGCCCCTGGCGAAGGAAGCAGGCAGGAAAGACTCAAAGTCCCCACAAAACGTCCCCAGTCTGGCTTGCATGGAATCCGAGGGAAAATGCTCTGATCCCTTTAAGAAGCATAGTGAAGAGTGTTGGTGAAGGGGTCCCAGTATCAAAGAGGGGCCGTCCCCCAATGGCAGTCCCAGCCCAGGCAGAGTTCCTGAAGGCAGCACTGGCCCCCTGCTCCTCCACCCCAGTGGGTGTGCAGGCTGTGATCTCCCAGCCGCTGCCCCGCCTCTTCTCCAGCCCTGCCCTCCGCCTGTGACAGAAAGGTCAGTGTTGCCCTAACAAGGCCATTGGATCTCAGAAGCTGCTCCCAAAATAACCCCCTAGACAGCCTAGCCTCCCTCAGAGCAGGAGGGAGGGGTGTTTCAAACCTAATTGTGGCTGCAGACCCAGGCAGGGGCTGGAGGGCAGAGGAAGGAAGCTGAGAACTGAGTGCAGACAGCCCAGGCCCCCTTCGTGTCTTCCCTTCCCATGGGTACGAACTGCCTTCTGCTCTCGGAGTCCTTTGGTCTGGTCAGAAAGGAGGGAGGGGACACCAAGTTGCCAGCTCTGGATCACTTCAGCTCCCCCAGCACCACAGGCTGGCTAACCTCAGACACCCCCACCACTTGGGCTCCCTAGCAGGCCTGGGCTCCAGCACCACTGCCAACCCCATCAAGGAAGTGGGTGGCCTAAAGAGAAAGGAATGGGGCAGTTTCCCAGGTGCTGACTGCAGAGGGAAGCTCAGGGAGAGAGGTGAGGGTCTGGTCAGAGTCTGGAAGACAGCAAATCTGAGACAATGCTCATACACAGCCCCAGGTACTCTCCACCCAGGAACCAGGGGGAATTCAGGGCTAAAAGCATTAGTCCCGAGACACGGGGTTGTTGCAGGATATATTGGAATGAGGTCCAGTAAGAAAGAAATACTCAAGGATCAAGGATCATAGCTTTTTTTAAAACTTCCTTTCCAAATTCTCTTTGCTCTAGTGGCCTCAGAGGCCTAGGCCAGGCGTCAGAGAGCTCTTGGGACAGGGTCAAGAGCTGAGGGCCTGAGTGGATTCCCAGTGCTCAGATTCCCACCAAACTCCAGTCAAAAGAACGAATAAATCTCTGCTTCCAAAAGCTGTGTCCCAGCTAATGACTGCAAATTCCAACCAAGCCCAGGGTAACGGCACAGAGTACCCCCGGCAAAGGTAAGAGCCTCCAATACTAGGAAGAGGTTGGAGGGGTGGATGGGTTGGGGTAGAAAAAAAAAAACCAAAGCCACTAGAGACCATTAAACCGTTATCTGACTTCAAATATATCTGATGTACTTCTAAATCCCATGGTGATGAGGCCAGGTAAAGTCCTGGCAGAAGTTTTGTTCTTATTTCAGAAATGGGCAGAAACTGTTCCCTCCTTTCTGCCCCACTGATCAGCAGTTCTTAAGACTCAGTTCTTTTATATCCACAGCCCTATTTCTGTGTCTGCACCTCACCACCCAGAGGAAACCACAGCCTCCCTCACAGCCAATAGCAGTGGATAGAGAACCACCATCTAGCCCAGCAGCCTGCCCTTTGACCAGGTGGACAACTTGCTCCCCAAAATCACTTCTAAGGACACCTCAACACTGCCTCCAGGGGGTTTTGCATTCCCACTAGTCCCTGAAGATTTAGAGCAGCAACTTTGCTGTCAAGGGGAGATGGGAGAGCATTCCAACTAGGAAGGAGTGCGAACCTTCTACATTCTCTACCCAGGTAACTAAGTCCCAGGCCAAGCCCTGTAATGGAGTCCTAAGGCCTCTGGAGCAGATCCAGCCACGTAAATGTGGCAGCTTTTCATCCACAGCAGCTCCTTGGGATGGGTCCCTCAGGTATGGGTACACACAAGACACATGCAGAGAATGTAAAAACCTAAACGGAGTCCAGAGCCCCACTCCAGATCTGTGTGATCAGACTGTTCTGGGAGAGGACTTGGGTCACTGCACTCGTTCTAAAAATTTCCTCCCTGGTTTAAAAACTACCTGTTTTCAAATAACACAAGTTTCTTTAGTAGCATTTATAAATCACAAATCCATTTACTTCCTACGGGCTGTGTAGGGTAGTTTGGAGTTAGATATATGTTCAAATACCAGCTCTGATCCCCAAAGCAATTGATTTTTTGTTAACATTTAGGTAAAATTTGGATTGCCACATTCAGCCCTGGCCTTACCTGCCCGGCCAACAGTTCTCGCTTACTTTGTCCCTACCTTAATCTTGTGCATTCCGGGAAAGGGCGCCCTCTTGTGGTCATATGTGCATTACAACAGCTTTTCCTCGGCGTGGGGGGGATAGTTCTTAAAAGAAAATGGGATTTACAAAACCTGAAATGAATTTTAAAATGTTCTTAAAGGTAGCTGTCACACTCTGTCTTCTTCTCAGACCCCGTTTTCATTCTCTGGCTCTGTTTTGATCAGAGGTGTTCACCTCCTCCCGCTGTTACCTCCTTGACTTCTTAAACCAGGCTGCTTCCCTGGAACCCAAGAGGGAACAAAGTCCTGAGCAGAAGACTGTGCCCAGAGTCTGCTTGAGATCTGAGCCCGAGCCCCGCCGAGGAAGCTACCAGCCCGGAAACCTTTGCAGACCCGTCTCCTGGCTGGATCAGCTGCCCTTTCCACAGGGTGGCTTATTCTCCAACTCCAGTCACTCGAGGCCAGAGTTTTCTCCTTCCTAAAGAAAACACAGCCCCTGGTCCTAGGTGGGCCCTTGCTTCCCTGTCTGCACACAGTGGGTGCCTCACCTCGCCTCTCAGCAGCACAGGCAGCAGAGGACTCCCTTCTGGACAGGCTTTCTCTGTTGCTTTCTAGGATGGACCCTCCCTTGGCTCTGCCCTTGCCTCCCTGGTTCCTTCTCAGCGCCTGAACTCTGTGCCTCGGCAATGTCCAGCTTGGTCCTCTGACTTCTTTTTCCAAACAAGCTGTTACTATGTTGTCTGAGTTGACCTCGAACTCAGGGGCTCAAGTGATCTTCCTGCCTTAGCTTCCTGAGCTGCAGGCCGCTGCACCCGGCTCCTCTGATTTATGTACCTTCGCTACCTAGGTGATCTTCCGTATTATGGCTTTCAAAACATTCACACACTTATCACTCCTGTATTTATAAAAAACAAAAAACAAAAAACAAAAAAACCAAAGCCACTAGAGACCATTAAACTGTTATCTGACTTCAAATATATATGAGGTACTTCTAAATCCCATGGTGATGAGGCCAGGCAAAGTCCTGGCAGAAGTTTTGTTCTTATTTCAGAAATGGGTAGAAACTCTCCAAACCACACCTCCTGGTTTCAGTCACTATCCAACCATGTACTCAACATCTCTACACGTCTCATGAACATCTCAGACTTGGCAAGAACGAAACTAAACTCCCCACTTCCCCTCCCAAATCAGCACTGACTCCCAGCTTCTTAAAAGCTTTGGGGTCATCCTTAATTCCTTTTTCATACGCTATATCCAACCCATCCGTAAATCCCTTCAATACTACCTTCAAAGTAATTCCAGATCACAGAATAGCTCCTGCACTGCCAAGTGTCCAGACACCAAAAGCCATTGCGTGGTCCACTGCAAGCCTCCTGGCTTCTCTCCTTGCCTCCCCTTAATCTACACGTGGCAGCTGGTGCTCCTTTAAAAGATTAATCTCGCAATGCCAGCACTCAGGAGGCTGAGGCAGGAGTAAGTCTGAGACTAGCTTTGGCTACACAGTGAGTTCAAGGCCACATCTTGTCTCACAGCAAGATTTCTGTCTCGTCTCTCTTCTCGGCTTATTTCCTAAATGGCTCTTTATCTCACTCCTACTACAGCCAAAGCCTTTAAAACTCTCCACCAGGCTCTCCACATCTGGCCCCACCACAACCCCTCTGACCACAGCTGCTCAAGCTGTAATTTTTGTTTCTTTTTGCCAACACTACACCTCCCCCAAAGGTATGTACGGCTCACTCCCTCAAGGTCTCTCCACCTCATCACAGAAACTCCTCTGGTGACCTAAAAAAAAGAAACCCCAGCCCCCGACTCTAACCCTATCTCCTAGTCCTTTCCACTTTATGTTCATCTTTCTCCACTGAGGACAGGGATACTGTTCTGCTTACTTCTCTATTTCTGGTACCTAGTATGTCTGGTGTATTGCAAACACTTGAGGGATATTTGAATGAATAAAAAGAGTGAACTAAAGGCAGGTCGAAATCAGCATGGCATCCTTCAGAATTTCAGAGCACAAACAATTCCTCAGTCCGCAGGGCCAGGGATTTGGCTCAGTGGTGCCACTGCTCCCAAGTGCAAGTTTGATCCCCAGCCCCAGTACAAAAAAAACAAAAACAAAAAAATCACATCAAATATTCTGGGAGAAATTAACATGGAGGTTGGTCCAGATTGGTCTGAGTGATTTTTAACTTTTGATAAAGATTTGAGGTATTAATAACCTGCAATGTATCCCCACAAATCTGGAATGCCTAAACTTTTATCCTAGTTGATTTCTTCACAGCTTCCTATGTCATTGGAACTTTTGATCTTTTCAATCCTTATAACCCAACAACTTTGTACGAAAACAGTGTAGTTTCACTCTTCATTCTCTGGTGATTTTGTGTCAACAGAACACTGTTTGAAAAGTAAACGAAGCCGGGCATGGTGGCACACTCCTGTAATCTCAGCACTCGGGAGGCTGAGGCAGGAGGATCACTGTGAGTTCGAGACCAGCCTGGGCTACATAGTGAGTTCCAGGTCAGTCTCAACTACATATTTAAGACCCTGTCTCAAAAAACAAACAAACAAGTAAGTGAAAAGGGCTTAGACTTAAGACCTAATCTTAATTGTATTTCAACCAGGTAGCTCATTACTTAATTACAAGTAACTCTCCAGTAAGGTGAGACAAAATGCTAGTTGTGAAGGTGTGGGTGGGACAGTACCTTTTCAACCAGCTTAAATGGCCTCTGATATTTGAGAGGGTGGGCTAAGAAGCCCTGGGAGTTCTGACACCCTTTTAAGGGATCTGGGAGGTTAAATGTTTCATGGCAGTAAGACACTGTTCAGTCTCTCAAGTGTACAATGGAGTCTGCTGGAGGTGATGTGATAGTTTGAAAGCAGGAGCAGATATGAGAACTTCCATGACACCAAATATACAAAAATGTAAAACAATGCCACTTTCCCATCTACTATGTTTCAGAAAACCTACCTTTAAAAATGTTACTTATGTTAGCTGTTAACTGGTTACTTGTGTTTTGTAAACTTCTTAGCTGTAATTTC